GGTGTCACCCATTCACCCCTTCAGCACATACTCATGAAGCTCAGGACACAGCTGGGTATGATGCCAGCACGTGGCGGTGTGGCTATGAAGAAAGTGGAATGCAAGACGTATTCCAGTGGGCTTTTTGATGGAATTTATTAAGTAGTTTCTAAACTTCACATGGAAGAGAAAGTGCGCACACACAGAGTAAAATAAAAAGAAAGCAATAATGAGAGAGACGCCCATGAAATGCAGTGCCAAAAAGAGTGCGTTAGTGGAGCACAGTTGCCTGAATAAACAGATCCACAGAAGCAAACGGAGAAGAAAAACACACCCAGGTACTCAGGAGAATTTGGTGTGTAATAAAAGGCCACGCTCTGCAGCTCAATGCCCATTAACAAATAGAGAAACAATGGTAAGACTGCAGAATGGCATAATACCCAGCAAGGAGGGGAAAGAATCCATGAAATGAGGGTTAGCAGCGGTGAATCACAAAATCGAGTTTCTCGGTGGAAGCAAACACACCCTGACTCCATGCTGCCGCTGTGGTTCTGCTTATTGAAAATTGTAAGAGACGCAGACTAACCTGCAATGGTGCAAAGCGGACCGGTGGCCGCCGGGGCGGGGGAGGGGGGTGTCACACAGGCTCCCCTGGAAACTGTTGAGGACGATGGGAATTGTCATCTTGGTTTTGACCAGGCGACACAGGCCTGCACAGAAGTCAACACATGTAGTTCTTAAACTGCTCATGTGTGCACTAGACTGTATCTTAATTATACCTAAATAAAATTATAAAAAATATTTTTTAAAAAATCACATCTTTGCATCAAAGGAGCAGGACTCACAGTGTCTAAAGGGAGCCTATAATGCAAGGAGACTGGGAAACGGTATTTGTAAATTACATACCCGGTAAGGGGTTAATAGCCAGGATATGTAAAAAACTCCAACACTCAGCACCACAACCACCAGCAGCAACAACAACAAACTAACAACCCAGTTAAAAGCTGGGCGAAGGGCTTGGAGAGACATTTCTGCAAAGAAGACATACAAATGGCCAACAAGCATATGAAAAGATACTCAATATCAGTGATCATTAAGGAAATACAAATCAAAACCTAAACCACTATGAGATACAACCCCATACGTCACTATCTAAAACACACACACACACCCCCGCCACATGCTTGTGATGATGTGGAGAAGTCGGAACCCTCATGCACTGTGGGTGCACAAGGAAAAGTATGGAAAAAGAATTGCTATGCAATGCAGTAATTTCGCTCCTGGCTATAGACCTCAAAGACTTAAAAGCAGGGTCTCGGACAGATATTTGCATACTCATTTGCACAGCAGCGTTACACACAATAGCCAAAAGGTGGGAACAACCCGACTGTCCATCAATGAATGAATGCATGGAGAAACCAAAGCGGTAGATGCATACAATGGAATACCATTCAGCCCTAAAAAGGAAGGAAATTCTGAAACATGTTACGTACGACATGGATGCACCTGGAGGACCTTACGCTCGGTGAAGTAAGCCAGACACAAAAAGCTAAACACTATGTGATTCCACTTATATGAGGCACTTAAAGTAGCCAAATTCATAGAGACAGGAAGTCGGATGGGGGGGGTGCCAGAGGCTGGGGGAGGGGTACTGGGAACAGTCCTCGAGGTGGAGGGTGGCAACATGAATATGCTTATTGCTGCATTTTACACTGAAAAATGCCTAAGAAGGTAAAGTTGATCTTATGTGTGCCTTATCACAATTTTAAAAAGTGGGGAAAGCCCTGGCTGGCGTGGCTCAGTGGATTGAGCACCGGCCTGCGAACCAAAGGGTCGCCGGTTTGATTCCCAGTCAGGGCACAGGCCTGGGTTGCAGGCCAGCTCCCCAGTAGGGGGCGTGTGAGAGGCAACTCATGGATATCTCTCTCATACATCAGATGTTTCTCTCTCTTCTTCCCTTTCCGTCTCTCTAAAAATAAATAAATAAAATCTTTAAAAAAAACAGGCTTCTTTAAAACTTTTGGAGGAAAGAACACTCATTTGAATTGACTCTGTTTTGGTTTTCTGTTATGGTTTTGGGGGGAGTCATCAATAATAATTAACATAGGTATAGGCAAGCAGTTGAGAACCTGTCCCTCAAGGTGGCATCCTATATGCATCTGGAATTAGGAGCTCTAAAGTCTTTTTCCTCTTTGGCATCTCACCAATTTTCTTAAAGATTTTATTCAATGACCAAGGTAAATTTTGTTTTTTATCATGATTGTCTTTCTATTTCCTCTTTCTGAGCCTTTAAAAAATCCTGACATTAGGAGAGGTTATATAGTAGCTTGGCAATTGCTCCTGGAATTTGTTACAATTAAAAATGTGCATACTTGAAACTAACACAATACTGGGTGTCAATTGTAAACCAAAAATTAAAAAATACTTTTTTAAAGATTTTATTATTTATTTTTAGAGAGGGGGGAGGGGCAGAGAAAGAGAGGAAGAGAAACATCAATGTGTGGTTGCCTCTTACGTGCCCCCCACTGAGGGCCTGGCCTGCAACCCAGGCTTGTGCCCTGACTGGAATTGAACACCGACACTTTGGTTCTTAAGTTGGCACTCAATTCAGTGAGCCACACCAGCCAGGGCTAAAAAAGAAATTCTAAAAATAGATTAAGTGATCATTTTGGTCTCTTAAAATTGCATTATGAATGAAACAAGTTATAAGTTAATTAGAAGATCATTATGTAGTAATCACCATTTTATCTCTATGTAGTACTTGGGGGTTAACAATTGTATAAGAATAAAATATTTCATCGTGAAACTTAAATATGCTATTCTGATAAAAGACAAAATGTCAGATCATGTGAGCTACTATATGAAGTGTCAGATGTAGCCCCACACTAAGAGCATAAAGATTTCATTTTTGAAAAGATACTCATTCATTGGTATCTCAGTTAGAAAAACATTTCCCCATTTAAAGCATCGGTTATTTTATTTGTTTTCTTAATTTTATTTGATTTTTTAGTTTTGCAATTACATTTAACATTCATTATTCTATTCCTTTCAGATGTAGAGCATAGTGTTTTGACATTGTTACAATATTATCGACCACCTTCCCTATGCTGTACTTAAATCCCTGTGACTGTTTTGTAACTGCCAATTTGTACTTCTTAATCCCTTCACGTTTAGCATTTTTTTAAAAAAATACAAGGGCCAATTGCTCATTCATACATTAAAAAGGCATAAAATTACATTCTAATAAATATAAGTAGGAAAAAAAGAAAAAGGATTACTAAAGCCATACACATAAATTTTTGAAAATGTGCATATAGATGATAATATAAAATTACTATTATACTCATAATTTTCTGTGATTCGTCAAGTGTAGCTAAATAAAATCAGAGCCTTTTTTTTAAGTTGGTAGCAAAACCATCTAGCGGAGCCCATTCAAAGGCCTTTGCTGCCACCTGGTGGGCGTCTGTCGTAATAACTACCCAAACGCGCTGTAGAATCAACAGTTCCAACGTATCAATCTAGGGTGTTCGAAATAACCGAGACGCCGGCGCGGCTCGGATCACCAGCTTAGTCATCGCCACTTTGTTCGGCGAAAAACTTGAATCGGCAAAGAAACGCCGCAGCCCTGATTTCCCCCGCCCTGTCACTCCTCCGACCTTGAACCTAACGGTGTCAGAAATGTTTTTCTTTAATATCAATGACAAGGTAATTTTCCGCGTTGCTAACGTTGCGCCCTTTAACGTTTTGAAGCTCAGTCTTCCTGGTGCCACAACGCTCACCCCGACCAGGGCGTTCCTTTGCCAACACACTGACAGTTGCTATATCCAGGTATTAATATTAGTTTTCAGCAATTCTTAGAAAATATTTTTAAAACCACTTAAAGAAAAAAAATTCCGGCTTTTGAAAGAACACTGCTTAAATGTTTTATTTTCTCTGTATTTTTATCATTTCTCCATGGTGAATATGTACAAGTCAATGCCATTTTAAATTTTTCATTCTAACAATCTGGGGTCAGTTACCCATAATAAGGGCGTGTTGATACTTATGAACCTGGGGCAAAACGGAGGGTGTGAGACCGAGAAGGAGGCAGGGGAGAAGCCAGTGGCAGGGGAAGGTCAGGCCAGCGCGAGCCCAGGTCAAGTTCATGGGCGCTGCAGGCGTTTCAATGAGCGCAGGCCTGAGAAACGACCGCTGGCTTTGTCGAGACCAAAACCAGACCGTCGGCTCTGAAAACGGCCGGAATGGCGGCAAGGGGATGGGGAGAAATACAAGCAAGTCCCGCCTCCCTGTCCCCACAGATGTTTAAATCCTCTCACCCGTGCCGCTGGCAGGCCTATTTTTAATACGCGAGACCTCCTAGAGCTTTCGTTGCAGCTTCCTGTGACGCTATAATGATTTCAAAGTAAAACTAAAAAGAAGCAGAACTCGCACCAGGTGACGCGAGGCCTAAGGACCAGGAGGAAGGGCTGCGGGTCAGGGCGCTAAGCATCGCAACCACCTGGAGGGCTCGTTTAAACCAGCGCGCTGGACCCGCCGGCTCGCGTCTCTGCTTCGCAGGTTTTAATTTCCAACAAGGACCCAGCAGGTTGGGGGGCCACAGCTAGAGAGGCGGCCCAGGTGTGGGGAACAGTGGCCACGAGCAGAAATGGACTCCTCGCTGGGTATCCTGTAGGAAATCGAGCCACCCCACTGGGATGGCCCTACGCTACAACGAAATAAACAACAGGAGGACAAAGACAAGATTACGGCTGAATGATGAAATGTTTATTGAAACCACTAACAAGACTTGCATTTTGTTGGAAGAATAATAGCATCATGAACAACCGAGAAAAAAAAATCCTATGAGGAAGAAAACGGTAGGTTGTAAAGAACCGGCAAATGGAAAGCACTAGGGAAGAGCTGTATGTGTCCAAAGATGTTAATTCCAATTTATAGAAGCCCCAGTGGGAACCAGAAACCTTGTAAGCGTTTAACCCGCCATATATCGTTTCTGCAACACAGGTGACAAATTAATTTCCTTCTTAGGCAGAAGGGACTTGGAATCCCTGGGAAGTCACGTTCGAATGTGTGTTTTGGTGGCGTTTAAATGTCCCCAGCTGACGGAAGGCCTGGTCACACTCATGACAGCGGTAGGGCCTGAGGTCCGTGTGGGTGCGCAGGTGGACGTTGAGGTTCCCTCTGTGGCTGAAACACTTGTGACAGACTTCGCATGGATAAGGCTTCTCCCCGGTGTGGACCTTCTCGTGACCGCGCAGTGTGGAGTCGTGGGTGAACGACTTCCGACAGACCCTACAGTTGTACGGCTTCTCGCCGGTGTGGATTCGCTGGTGAACTCGGAGATCCGAAGGCTGAATAAACCTCTTGAGACAAAATTGGCACTCGAAGGGCCTCTCTCCTGTATGTGTCCTCTGGTGAATAGTCAACTGAGATTCATAATTAAATCTTTTCTTGCAATCTGCACATTCATACGGCACCTGCCTCGTGGCTTCTTTTCTGACAGGGCGACCAGTTGGTCTCTCGGTGCTTGGTGCGCGAACTGAATTGGACCTGAGTTGTCTAGAGAACTTTCCTTTATCCAACGAGATGGCTCCTCCTTCCGGCACACCTTGGGGAGTAGAGGTGTTGTCCCGTTTTCTTCTGGAGGGACCTCTCGCACTCTGAGAATCTCTTCTTTTCCAAAGCTGAGTCAAAACATCCGTCTCCAAATTGTGGGTGGAATGTGCATCAGCATCTGCACTGTCAGTGCCAGTTCCTTCGCGCAGATTCTCCTCACCCTCCGTCCCCACAGGGACTTCTGAAAGAAAAACACCACATAACACTTAACCAAGAGCATTTTCAAAACCATCGAATGCATTTCCCATGGATCAACAGACCTGAGATTGGATGCTAGGGCGCCCTGGAAGGTCGGTGACAGGGAGGGCTTGGCATTGAGGGCCAACTGTCCCCAAGAGATGAGAATGCTGGCTGCCCGGCCAGGCCACTAACCCCACTAAAGTCCCAGTGTCCGTACTTACCAGGTGTCGGAAGCTGAGGCTCTGGAGACATAAGCACTGTTGCCTCATCCTGATCCTCCAATGGGCCCTTCTCCAACATCTGTGTGGGCCTCGGACCCGCCAGGTCACCCTCCTTGGCCATGGTCTCTGGCAGGAGGGCTTCCTGACCCTGACAACCACGGGTGATTATCAATGTGTCTAAATTCAAGCACTGAAAGCCCCATCTCTCCTCCCCCCACCCTACCCGTCTCCCTGACCTGAGACCCCAGCGAACCGAACGGTGCAGTTCTGCAGCTCTGCGCAGACTTGCTTGGGGCCACCGCTTCACTCCCGAGAACCATCACCTGACTCCCAAGTCTGTCGTTCATCTGTACCCTCCACAACTTTCAATCAAATCTATACTTACGGGGTTTGTCTTCTTCTTCTTTTTTTTTTTTCAAATATGGATGTGTGAGAGGAACTTCAATCAGTTGCCTCTCGCTTGCCCCCAACTGGGTACCTGGCCTGCAACCCAGACATATGTCCTGGCCAGGAATTGAACTGGCAACCTCTCAGTTTGCAGGATGATGCCCAACCTACTGAGCTATGCCAGTCAGGGCTATATCTTACAGTTTTTACTCTTAATTCTCTAAATGTACCTCACCAGGTCATCCCAACTGCCCCCTGACTGTGGGAGCAAAATTATTCTAGACCCAGATCTCCTGAGTCATCACTGTTGATGTTTTGGCTGGATTATTCTCTGTTGTGCATTTAGGATGATGAACAGCAGCCCTGATCTCTACTCACTGGACATCAATAGCATCCTCAACCCAGTCAGCCAACCAAAAATGTCTCCAGACATTTGTGAAGGTCTTTGGGAGGCAAAGGGCTCCAGGGGAAACCCATTCTTTTAAATGGAAGGAATGGAGAATATTCCAAAAACTGGTCCTTTGGCCAATTATTATTTCATGAAATGCCTTTGAGGAAAATTAGCTTTGAGCTCATTGGCCTGCCTGTTGGAGGAGGGACAAAGGCTGGTGCGTCTGTACTGTTCACATTAGTTCAAAAATGTCTAGGGATTTAATGTATCCTTGGGATGCCTTAATGGGTCCTGTTCTGTCCTGGGCCGAATGTCCCAATTACCCTGCCTGCTGCTTCCCCTTGTACCCTCTCCCACCTGTCCCCAGAGGCATCACACAATCACCTGCGCCCTTGACATGTCCGTGATTCCTGGCTGGTTCCCTGGATCCGGGCTGACCTCCTGGCTGTTCTTGGGATGTCCCTCCACCTCACTCACGAGGGTTCGGGACTTCATGGACAAGTCCATCACAAGGTCCGCGTCACCAGCTTCCACTTCAGCCATCTGGACGTCTGAGTTTTGCGCAAGAAACTTCTGTCCTTCGAAGGTGACTACCGTCTGCAGAGAGGACATCAAACGAGAAAAGAACAGGATGCATCATATTCGTTGTGTGCCTCCGATCCGACGCCCCCACTTGACTGGGAATACTTGTTTAAAATCACAGCCTCCCGAGTTGTGTCAACCAGGAATGTCTCCTGACACTGCTGAGGCTCCCGCCTCTCTGTGCCTCAGTTTCCCCACCAGTGAAGCAGAACTGATAAGTCTAACTCATGAGGCTATCGTGAAGGTCACGTCTGCCTCCCTTCGCTTCAGAGTCCTCTGCTCTCCCTCCCCTGCACCCTTGTCTTCTCACGGTCCTCTCTGCCTCACCCAGACCTTACACAGCAGCATTCCTTAGACGGACACCTTCAGACATTCTCTCTCCTGTCCCAAGACTCACTTTCCCAATGACCTCATCTTATGCCATCGCTCAACCTCATTCTACATGGGTCCAGCTCCCCATTTTAATTTCCCATCCCCAGGCCTGTTCTAAGTTTTGATGCCTTTCCACTGGGACGCCCACAGACAGGGGCCTGGCAGGCTATGTTGAACGGCCCTCAAACTAAGAATGGGATTTATACTTTGCTTTTATTTTTACTGTTGACATGAAGGGCTGTGATACACACACACACACACACACACACATGCACACACACACGCACACACACATGGTAGAGACCATGGGACTATATGGCCCGGCAAAGCCTAAACGATTTATTATCTGTCCCTTTACAGGTAAAATTTGCCAACCCCTGACTGCTTGGCTTTCCCAAAATGGAACTCACCCCTCCACCCTTTGGCCATGCTGTCCCCAAAAGTTCTTCGAGATTTCTGTTCTCTGCACACGCCAGTCTCTTTTCCCCAAAAGACCACCCTGGGAACCCTGGCTGGTATGGCTCAGTGCATTGAGCACCAACCTGCAAACTACAAGGTTGCTGGTTCGATTCCCAGTCAGGGTACATGGCTGGGCTGCAGGCCAGGTCCCTGGTTGTGCAAGAGGCAACAGATCGCTGTTTCTCTTGCACATCAATGTTTCTCTCCCTTCCCCTCTGTCTAAAAATCTATATATATATTTTAAAAAAAAAAGGCCCACCCTGGGAATCCCTCTGAAGTAGTCACAGCTCTTCTTAACTGAGCTGCAAGGCAGAAGTAAGCCCGCGTGCCCTCGCCCCGTTTCCTCCATCCTTCGCAGGGGACAGGCACACTGCCTGCTGCGTCTTGAACCACTTCACACAGGATAACGCCACACAGTGAAGACACACAGGAGCACCTCTCAATCCATCTACTGGTGCCGTGCATTAGGGTTGAAGACCCAAAGGGTCGCTTTGCCTAACGTATGGGCATCGACTAGGGTTACAGAACCTTGGCATAGTCAACATTCGGGGCTGGATCATTCTGTCCTGCGCAGGACAGAGCGATGAGCGGCATCTCTGATCTCTAGCATCCCCTCTGCTCCCCACTCTGACAGCCAAAAACGGCTCCAGATATCGCCACAGGTCCCCATTGGAGAACCAGAGATGCAGAACCAATCCTTCCTGCCCGTCCGATTCCAAATTCCAGCACTCAAGCCCGCCCCCTTCCCCATGTCGACCCTGGGGGTCCTGCTCACCCATTCCTTGGGTTTCTCCTTATGCCTCAGCATGTCCTCCAGGTCCTTGCAACTCTGCACATTACGGTCCTTGACCAAGACCTGGAGCTCCAGGGGCATGGAGATCATGAACTGCTCCAGCACCAGCTTGTCCAGGATCTGTTCCTTGGTGAGCAGGTCTGGCCTCAGCCACAGGCGGCAGAGCTCAGAGAGTTTCCGCAGATCCTGGACCGGGTCTGAGTCCTCCGAGCAGGTGAAGGCTCTGAAGACCACGTGCCACATCTCAGTGTCCCAGCCTTGCCCGTGCGGGAGGGTTCCTAGCGGCGCTGCGGGTGGCGGCGGCTGGGATCCTGGGCTCTCCTGGGGTCTCCCAGGGCCCCGTGGAAATGTCCGGTTTGCATCCATATTCACTGGAAAAGTTTTCAATGTGACTTGAGCGAACTCTTCCTGAAGCCAGCACCTAATGGAGACCTAAAGAAGGGATTTACTCTGTAATAGATCCAGAAGTCGGGGGAGGGTTGGGGGGGTGAGATTAGTGACTCCGCCCTCCCCTCCCCTCAAAAGCCCTCCTCGAAATACAAGACGCCATTCACTGGTCCCTTATTGAACACCCTGGAAGTGAATCCGCACTGTTACTCTCTGATGTCCGCCTTTGACTACAGGTGCTGGTCCCCATGTGCGAATGGCCCCTAGACGCTGGCTCCTACATGGGCGCAGCCCGGGGGTGCGTTTTCTCAGTGGGACAATGTTGTCCTTCCCTGTAAATTAAATGCGGTCATGATGCGTGATTGTCCTACACTCTGATAATAATGTCAGCTTACATGGCTTTTCATCAAGAGAAGACATGGGGAATTGATTGGTAATTTTTTTTTTTTATCACTATGTCAGCCATGACTCTGTAGGAAGGTATAGAAACATAGTTACAAGCAGGGAATTCCATGGGGTGTAGTACCGTGGGAAAGATTTTTTTAAATCCTTATCAGAGGATGGTTATTGATTTGAGAGAGAGAGGAGGGGAGTGAGAGGAGGGGAAGAGAGAGAGACACAGAGAGAGAGAAACACTGATATGACAGAGAGACATCGATCGGTTGCCCCCTGTTCGCACTCCCACTGGGAATTAAACCCGCAGCCTTTGGGTGCACGGGATGATGCTCCAACCAACTCGGCCACCGGGCCAGGGCAGACATGGGGAATAGTAACCTAAGGTTGTCCCCCAATGTTTCCTTCTTTGTTCCAAGGAAGGGTGACCACAAAAAAAAATCCTCTGAGAATTAAGCTCCTACAGATAGTTTGTTATTGGGGTACAATGCACAAGAAAAAGTCACCATTCGAATTCTTTTTTAAAGGGTACAGTTTTGGGCCACTCAGTGCATCCCCAATGTTGTGTGACTCTCCCGGCCGTCTAGCTCCAGAACCTCGTTTTCCTCACCCTGAAAGGTAACCTTGGACCACCCCGCGGCCTTCCCGTTCCTGCCTACGCACCCCAGCCCCCGGCCCTCCGCAAGGCACTTACCTGCTTAACGGAGCCTGAACACTTAATCTCCTCCCAGAAAATGGATTAAAACCTAATGCCCTTTGAACTTTCCAGGAAACAAGGTTTTTAAAAAGAAAGTTTTCAGGGGTCCTACACCTGGCTCCTGAAGTCAAGAGCCACTGTCTACTTTCCCCAGAGACGCATTTTATTCCACGCACAGCAGGTAGGGAAACGGCAGCGCCCCTTCCCGCCCCTGGTGGGGGTGCCCCTGACGGTCAGGGCAAGGTCGCTGACAGTCGGGAAGATGCGCCCCCGCGCGGGGAGGGGGGCGTTCCTGGCGTTTTCCGTCTGGACGGTGAGAAGGCCGTGATTCGGCGGGTCCGTTTTAATCCCTTCAGGTTCCTTTCGCATTGACGTAAACCACAAAATCACGGAAAAGAAAAATAAAATAAAATCCAAGCTATGGAAGCAACCTCAGAGCCCACCGACAGCCACCTGGACAAAGAAATGGCGCAGACGTGCAAGGGAATAGGACTCAGCCCGGAAAAAGGACGAACTGTCGCCATGGGTAACAACGCGGGGGGACCCGCCCGGCGCGGTGCCGAGCGGCGGGAGTCAGAGAAAGACAAACGGCACTTGGCGTCCCCCTTAGGCGGAAGCTAAAGAACAAAATAAACTGACGGACACAGTAGAAACAGGCTCAGAGATACGGAGACCGGACCGGCAGCCGCCGGCGGAGGCGGGTGGGGGGCTGGGCGACGAAGGTGACGGGATTAAGAGCACAAATTGGCAGCTGCAAAGACAGTCGTGGGGACGCGCAGTGCGGCCCAGGGCGCACAGCGCGCAGCACGGCGAGGAACGCGGCGAGGAACGGCGCCGGGCGCGCGCCAGACGCATCGGGGAGACCGCATCGGGAGTTACACAAACGTCTCACCCCGGTGCTGCACACCCCCCCGAAATGACAGTAATATAATGTTGTGTGCCAACTGTCACTGGCCAATAAAAAAAAAAAGAAAGAAAAGAAAAGAAATAGCCTGTCCCTGCAAAATATGAAATAAAATGAAGTGCGCATTTTAGGGTTCACCCACGGGGGGAGGGGGGACCCGGACCGCAGAGGGCGCCCCGCGGCTCCCAGCTGGGGAACACACTGTCTGTGACCCCGAGAGGCGCGGGGCATGTCGTCAAAGGCTCGATTTTACCCTGTGGGTGGGAAAAACCCAGCGATTGTCTCTCAGCAATAACGCGACGTGATTAGAAATCTCAGACAACCCGCATCCCATACGGGAAAATGTAAAGGTAACACATTTGCTTGAAATCCCTCACTTTCTTCGTACTTCCGACCATTGGGGGAGGCTCGTCCAGCCCAGAGCCGATGGAATGTCGCGCTTCAGCTTAAATGGCTGTGAGCAAATGGAGCGAATCAGCCAGCCCTCCCAGGATGAGACTCCTTCTCGTAAGAGGGGGTGATAACACCTGCCCCTCAAACTGAAGGTAAGATAAGGGGGCGCTGATGATGCGCCTGGCACATGGTTGTCGGCTGTGGTGACTAACACTTAAAAGCAGGGGTCCTCGACCAGGGGTCTCCCAACCCAGGCGCATTTGACAATTCCTAGCAGCAGTTTGTGTTGTCAAAAGGGGGTGTGGGACCCTGGCTGGTGTGGCTCAGTGGACTGAGCACCAGCCTGCAAATCAAAGGGTCGCCGGTTCGATTCCCGGTCAGAGCACGTGCCTGGGTTGTGCGTTCCCTCCCGGTCGAGGCAAGTACCAGAGGCACCTGATGATGCTTCTCGGGAACAACGATGTTTCTTGCCCTCTCTTTTCCCTGCCCCTCTCTCTAAAAATAAATAAACAAGACCTTTTTCTAATAAATAAATAAGTAAACAAAGACACAAATAAAATGTAAACCACATGGTGCACATTGACCCTGAGTTATACAAGGAGTCAGCGTGAGCGGGGTACAAGGAAGATCCCTCGTTTTCCCAAGAGCGCAGAAATAACGCGCTGTGAACACCCACCCCAATCTTCCTGAAGCTCATGTCCGTCCATCCCGATTTCCAAACGCCCTCAGCCATCCCCTGCCGTCCCTTACCTCCTCCGCGTCTGCGGAGCCTCAGCGTCCCCGAGCCTGGAGCCTGGAGCCGGCCAACTGCGCCCTGAGCCGAAACCTCTGGGTTAATAGTGAAGCTCCAGGCCCCGCCTCCTGTTCCCCCTCAGCGCAGTGACGGGTCGAAGACCGTGGAACCACCCATTTTAGACGAGCCGCGTGGCTTAAACTTCTCATTGACACTTCGCGAAGAGAGAAAAAAAAAAATCCTCCTCCCTTGGACCCAACAGTTTTTGCCTTGGTCTAGCCTAAGGGAGTTAATAATCATACGCCTGGAGTGTCTGAAGGAATCAAGAAATGCAGAGCCACAGACAAACATAAAAGAGAAAGAGAGATCCAGAAATATTCACCAGTTTGGGTCGTTCACTCTTTTGTGAACTGTAAATGTATTTTTTAAAATTTTTTTATATTTTTATTTTTTAATGTATTTTTTATTGTATTTATTGGGGAGGCATTGGTTAATAAAATTATATAGGTTTCAGGTATACAATTCTACAATACATCACCTGTCCATTGTATTGTGACCAATGTCGCTGGGCAGGATGGGCATTGTCTGGCAAAGCAAAAGGTCGCCCGTTTGATTCCCAGTCAGGGCACATGCCTGGGGTGGGGGTTCCGTCCAGACATGTACGAAAGGCAACCAGTCGATATTTCTTTCTCACATCAACATTTCCCTCCCTCTCCTTCTCTCTCCCTTCCCCTCTCTCTAAAATCAAAGAAATAAAAAATTAAAAATAAAATAAGATAACAAGGCAAAGTCTGAGAAGGGCATATTTCTGAGCAGACACGTAGCAAACCAGAGGCCGCACACCAGGAGAGGTAAACGATGACCTCGCATCAATTTAGCCAGCCGAGATAAGGAACAAGTGAATAGTAACTATTCATACATAAGAAATAGTCATTTTTAAAAACATTTTTTTTACTATTTTTTAATATCTTGAAATTAATACATCAAAGCGTTTTGGAAATAGATTAATTAATGGGTTTGATATTAGCCAACTTAACCTTTTCTAAAAACAACAGAGAAAAAATTGAAATTAAAATAGTTTTTGAAGCCCTGGCTGGTACTCAGTTGGTTAGAACGTTGGGCCGATACGCCAGGGTTGTGGGTTTAATGTCTGGTCAGGGCGCCTACAGGAACCAACCAATGACACCTACATAAGTGGAACAACAAATCGATGTCTCTCCCGTTTCCTCTCTTTCTGTAAAATCAATAAAATTTTTAAATCTTTTTTTAAAGTAAAAACAAGAGAAACCAGAAAGTAGCACATAGACACCATTCTACATTTCATTCCCCCGAGGGTTGGGAAAAGCGCTTTATAGATAGAGCGGGGCTGTACATGGACCTTGGTGTTTGTTCCCACAAACCAGGCGCTATAAATTCTGAAAAACTATAATGGGGCGTCTGAATGTTTTTGTTTGAATCATTGAGTCAGTGTTGAATTTTAATCAAGGAGAGGGCGTGATTCGATTACCTGTTTGCAAGTTCTGGGTGTTGATCAAATCAAAACAAGTCCATTCAAATACTGAGTTGTCTGTTCAGGTTAATAGTAAACGTTTTTTGTTTAATCTTTTAGATGACCTGGAGGGCGGTTGGCTTTGGACCGATTTTGGTTTAAATTCATATGGAATCTTAAAGCCAGTCTTTTAACCCTATGAGTCTCAAACTTCTGTGAATAAAATGAGGCTGGAGCGGTTACTCGG